CTAGGAAAATATTTCTATCTTTTCTGTCCGTTGTAGACATATCTTCAATGCATTTTTTTAATATTTCGCACCATCCTATCTATTTGGTTGGTGCAAAAATAATGACGTAATAATGTCGTTTTTGACGTAGTTTTTAACGTCAAAAAACGACATTATTATGTCATTATTTTTGCACCAACCTAATAATAGACTGTTTGATTGCAGATCTTATGGTGGGTGTTTATATGTTTTGCATTCAATTTTATTCAGCCATTGACATGGTTCCTCGTTACAGAACACTGTGGCATTGTCAGATAGTAGCGTTTTCGGAATTCCATTTCTTGAATCCATAAAGGTTGTTTAATTGTTGAACTTTTTTTTTGTTGGAAACCTGTTTCACTTCTGGTCAATCTAAATACGGATTTACCTGTATCAGTAATAATCTTACTCCATTAACATAGGCATGATCTGTGTGTAACCTCCTGTCTTTGACTGTCAGAATTTTCTTCTTTCAGTTCACGTTTTACACCTTTTTACGTATTCTTCTTCATCTGTAGAATAGCCTGGCCACCACCTCTAGCCTTAATCTTCTTTACGTAAACGTTATTCCCAAATGAACATCATGATGTCTGCTTTTCATAATTCTGCTTCTTTTTATTGCTGGAGGAACCTCTACGTCTCTGTTACGAATTATACCATTTTCTACAGTTAACTTGTGTTTAACATCTTTAAAGCGCCTTTCTGTTCGTGAGCAATTATTCCACTTATCTTGAACAATATGGGATCTCGCTTCGTATCCTCAGCTAATTTGTCTATCAGCTTCGACCCAGTGTAAGAAATTATCTTCGAATTTTTCCTCCTATTTCTCCCTTTCAGTAATAATTAACCTCAATCACGACAAAGCGTCTATATGCGGAATGGTATTACCTTTCACGCGCAGAATATCAGACTCAAACGCTATTAATATTAATGCCCATTCTTAGAATTGTAGAAGACGTTACCTTTCTAAATTCCTTCCTAGATTAAATATGAATTCTAAAGATCTATGGTCGGACCTTAGTAGGAATTTAATTTATATCAATCCTCTTCCATTGTCTGTTTTTCCGTTCCCGGTTTTTCATATTTACAATATTTAGCGGCCTGTTTTAAACGAAGAACGTATTCAATAACTGGTTCGTTTATTTTTTTTTTGAGAAATGATCATGAACCTATCTCTCTCTGCATTAGTTTTTTTTTTTCTTGGGTGTCATATTTCTCCCTATTAACAGACTTATATCGTCAGATATCATTTCCTTCAAATGCCTTGTGTGTGCTATTGCTGACAATTTTATAATAGCCTCACAACCAGCAATTGCCATGAAGAGATCCGTTATCTGGTTTTCTACCCCCAACTGATTTTAATTTTTTTAGCATTTTTGTTCTAGCTTGGGTGTACTCATAATTATTCAATCATAATTGTCCGCTCGGTTCATTAGATATCTGAAACGCCATTGCAGTGTAAGATAGTGCAGTATTACGGCCTCATGGGAAGTACGATGCATTCAAGTGTACATGGGTACTAGCCGTAGATATTTATAGTATTAGTGACTTCCTATGTAAATAACTCGCTTCAAACTGCATTGTTTCTGTCCAGGTAAATTAACACCTGACTTTTTATGAAAGACTTAAAAAGTAAAGAGTAGCCTTGAAATGGACAACAGCTGGCATCCTGGTATTAAAAGTACCTGCAGAAAAAGGATGTAGACTCCAAGAAAATTCCTGCTCATTATTTACATTATTCGGAGTATTGTTGTCATCTTTGTCGCCATATTTGTTACAACGTTTCGGCCGTTGTACGCTTCGGCCTTCTTCAGGTGGTTGAAATGTCGAACTGAACCCTTTATTTCGCTCACTCCGGTAAACTGTTCTAGTCCCACGTGCCATGTCTAATGGATGTCAGTTATCAGTTATCTCCTGTTAATTCCCCTCTCTAAATTCTCCACTCTTAGGGTCCTGTCACTGGATCTAACCAACGCCTTTATCCACTGTGCCATGTGTCCTTTCAGAGGGGACTTAACAAGAGATAGCTGATAACTGACATCCATTAAACATGGAAAGTGGAACGAGAACAATCTACACCAGAAAGCGAAATAAAGGGTTCTGTTCGACATTCCAACCACCTAAAGAAAGCCGTAGCGTACAACGGCCAAAACGTTGTAATAAATATGGCGACAAAGATGGGGACAATAGTTCGAATAATGTAAATAATGTACATCATACCTCATCTCAGACATATAAACATTCATGCTGACTGGCTGCTACATTAGGAGATGACGCTCCAGTTTCCAACATGAAAATCAATTGGAAGTGCGTCGATATCACAGGGATGATTACGTTATATCTGTTTTTGCTGATTTTTTTAAACAAATACGAAAAAAGAAGTCTTCTTTGAACAATAAGATGCCAGATTAAATAGAAGGAAACAACAGATTTAATAATAAGAAGAGTTGAAATTAACGTATGCTATATTTTCCAGTTCTAGCATCATCCTTCATAGTCAACCTCTGAATTTTTCAGCGCACCTTCCGAAGTTACAATTTTATACATAGGCCTCCTCTTCTTGTCAAATGCCCCGTGTCTTCCCAATACTAAATTAGGTATACAGTTGTCAGTATGAAGTAATATGAATTCATTGGTTAGTGAAAGGAATGTAGAGTATTTTCTGGACTCACATTATGTAGAAATGTGTCCGAATGTTCTGTATGCCCGAACGCTTTCATACATAATTTTGGCCATTATTAATGTTGATTTTATTTTAACTTTTATTTGAATGTATGGATTGTTTTATGTATGTATCTAGAGAAAAAAATAGATAAACAAAACATAGACATGTCAGTCTTTTTTTTTTTTAATGTAACTTGTACAAAAGATGGATTATTGCGTACATACACAATCTAACTATATACAGCGTCCGATAGATAAATTGTCGTCTAAAGTACGCAAAATGAATATAACATTGACATCTCATTTTAACAGACATATTTTCCAAAATTGCACAAAACTATCTTAAATTACTAAAGAGTATATTCGTTCAATAGAATAGGCATTAGCTTCAATCATGATCGTCAGACGACTTCGCAATCTCCTGCAACACTTCCCGGCGGTCTCCTTGTTTAAGTTGGTGAATGCTGGCATAATGTTGCCCTCAGTTTATCTTTGATGTTACAAGCAGGTTTCTCGGTCTCACGCTCAACTGCACCCAACAGTATGAAACAGCCTGTCGTCTCTGAGTGTTGACTTCAATGTTCACTTATATATATATATATATATATATATATATATATTAAACATTAATATTATCTCTCTCTGTATGCATATATATATATATATATATATATATATATACACGTGTATATATATATATATATACGTGTTATATATATATATATATTCATTCTTATTAATATATATATATATATATATATATATATATATATATATATATATATATACGTGTATATATATATTCACTATTAATATTATTCTGTGTATATATATATATATACGTGTATATATATATATATATATATTCACTATTAATATTATATCTGTATATATATATATATATTCACTATTATATATTATCTCTCTCTCTATATATATATATATATATATATATATATATATATATATATATATTCACTATTAATATTATCTCTATATATATATATATATATATATATATATATATATATATATATATATATGTTTCATTAAAACGACAGACAAGGTACTACGGTTGAGCTTTTATTTAATTTTTCTTGTGTTCTGACAAGAGCTTTCTTTTTCTGGACAAAGAGTGTTTAAGAACTGTCCGAATGTTCTGTATTTCCGAGCGCTTTCGGCTATATCTTTAGCCATTATCAAGGATGATTCAATATCAGCTTAGTAGAGTGTGTGTGTTCTGTGTATGTTCAGTGTGTGGTAGTGATGTTTTTAGTTTCCGAATACGGTTAGCACATTGTGGCTTTGTTCATAGTTAATATTGTTAAGAGTTGGCTTTTTCTTTTTTATTATTAGAGCTTCCATTATTTTTAGTCTTTTTTTGCAAGTGGATACACTTAATATATTTGTGTTTTATACTAGTATGTTCTTAATAGTGTCGGGTAAATCTGAGTGTGTGTTTAAATGTGTTCTGATGGAACTGTGATCAGATAGGTGTAATGTAAGACGTCTGGATAAACATGTGGTTGTGTAGCCGATGTAATTATTTATGAGTCCGGTATGAATCTTTCAAAGTTTTGTTAATCTTTGTGATTTCATTCCAAGCCCATCGTACAAACTTTCAAATTCATATCCTTTATTTTGATTGGATGTAGGAAGAACACGTGTCAATTAAAGCATTGCTTACGTGCTAAAGCCACCAAGTGTATCGGTGAGCAGACTGAAGTGTTTGGAAACAAGACAAATCATGACGTGTTATGCAGCCGTTTTGTTCTAAGATTTATTCGCTTTGTTTTTCGGTCCTTTCTTTGAAACATAACAACTTTTGTGTCGAAATCACCCCGAGAAAAATATATTAAAAAGCAAACAGTGGACGTTTGAAGTCACGCGGGTATTGGTTCGTGCCCAGTGAAAATAGTCTTTCGAAACTGTCTGATCAATCTAGAGGAAACATCTGTCAAGTAGAGAGAATCGGAAAGTCCCCAAGTTTCTTGCGCTCAAATGTGCTGAATCCCCAATCCTATTATAGGCAATCGAAGCAGCTCGGAAAATAGACACTATATCGATATATTCGACTCTTTTCGCTGTTTTAAGTAGTGTTGGATTATTCAAACGTCGAGATGCGAGAGAAGTTTTCATGGATAAGCATAAAAATGGGGAAATAAAGTTATCGACACATTCTCTTGAGGTTTGACTTTTGCACTTTACAGTTCAGACAGTTGAATTAAATTAAAAGCAGTGTTTGCCAGAATAAAATAAAAAAAGTCTCCCTGGATAGAGTAGGACTTGCAAAGTCTTGTGTGGGGATATAAAGGGACCTAGGTCTTGTGTGGGGAGATAATACTGGCTAGATAATAAATAGATAGAGAGACAATCAGGCTGATAGATAGGTAGGTAGATAGATAGATAAAATGACAGAGATACAGAGTGATAGACAGACAGACAGTCTGATAGATAGATAACTGTATAGACAGAGAATCAGACTAATAGACAGATAGTGAGGTAGACTGATAGATATATCGATAGGTAGACAGAGCAGCAAACTAATATAGTGATATATATATATATATATATATATATATATATATATATATATATAGATAGATAGATAGATAGATAGATACTGAGCCATACTCGAAGATAGAGAGACAATAAGGTACCTCGGAGACAGTGAGGCATACTCATATATAGATAGATAGGCAGAAAGTGAGGCAAACAGAGTCAGATTTACACATAGATAGATATATACATACATACACCCATGCATAAATAGAGGGTTATATAACTAGCGAGCTAGATAGATAGATAGACTGATTGAGTGCATCAGATAGACTGATTGATAGAGTGCGTGACTGTTAAAATAGATAGAGTGAGTGAGGGAGGGAGAATATATATATATATATATATATATATATATATATATATATATATATATATATATATATAATTACATGAATCATTCATACAAAAAACAAATATAGAGGTTAATGATTTAAATGGCGAGAATACATCTTCGCAAACAATTTCAATAAGATATACTAACACATTATAAATTATATTGCACCTATAATCGAATATATATATATATATATATATATATATATATATATATATATATATATATATATATATAATGTAAAGTGAATGAAACCTATATACATAGATCGAGTGAGTGAGCGAAAAAAAACAGAGAGAGATATTTTGATTGAGTAAGTGAGTGCGAAGAACAAATACTTTACATAAATAGATAGACAGAGTGAGTATGCGAGTGAGTGAGTGATATAAACATATAGATTAATTGTGCGAGAAAACCTGATAGATATATTGAGCGAGTAAGTGAAAAGACATAGGTTGAGTGAGCGGTGAAAAAAGACAGTGGGTGATTGAGAAAACAATAGATAAATATATAGATAGACTGTGAGTGAAAGATAGTTTGTGAGTGAAAGATAGATAGTGAATGAAAGATAGAGTGAGTGAGTGAAAGATAGATAGTGAATTAAAGATAGATTGAGTGAGTGAAAGATAGTGAATGAAAAATAGTGAGTGAGAGAAAGATAGATTGAGTGAGAGATCGATTGACTGAATGAAAAATAGTGAGTAAAAATAGATTGACTGAGTGAAAATCAGAGATAGAAAGATGGATAGGCATATTGAGCGAGTTTTAAAAACAGAGAGATCGAAAGATGAATTGATAGATAACGAGTAAAGTGAATGAAAACGATTGATAGATAGTGTGAGTGAGTGATAAAAAGATATAATGTGTGATTAAAATTTAGTGCGTGAGTAAAAGAAGACAGTGAGCTTTTGAGTGAGCAATCAGATAGATAAGTGAGTGAACGTGATAGATACATAGATGTCAGCACGTTCAAATAAAAGAATGGAAAACGATGTGTGTAGCTATATAAACGCAAATCTTTTGATAAAAATAGCTATGCTTTCTTATATAGAATTAACTTTCTTCATATTTGAAAGAATAAAAAAAACAAACAGAAACGATAGAACCACGCCTGCAGAGATCACACTTTCTGCCTATCTACACAGCCACATATGTAATTATCCATAAAAAAAACACGTCTGTATTTGTTAGTACATTTTTTATTATGTATTATCGATTTTAATTGATGCACACATATATCGTGAAATGTTTCCAGCATTATGGAAAAAAAAATAAAGAGAAAAAAAGTGAAAACAATTAAAAATGAAATCGTCCCCGAAGTTTAAGCATTATGTAAGCAAAAAACAAAAAAACAAAAAAAAAAAACAAAAACAAACAAACAAACAAACAAAACGGTCTTTCAAAAGTGGAGAGAAAATCCATCAATTATTCGCAATGAATCGAACGGAAATGATGCAGAAAGAATGGAAAAAATAAAAAAATAAATTAAAAAAAAAAACGATCCAACTGATAATTTCTTTTTCATTTCAGTGAATATGTTATGGAATTGTTCCATCAAAACGCCTGTTTTCCGTCTGTATTACATCTAAAAAAAAACAATTGTAAAGCTATAATGCATGATATTATATTCCTTATTTTTAACAAGGCAAATCTATTAACACATCATTTAAACGGTTTCATAAATCTGCTTTTATGCTTCGGATTAATGATCTGTTGAGGATGAGGTTATATTGAACAATGAATAAGCGCATTTGTGAATATTGTGACACCAACAAACAATCACGTAGCAGGAGAACTCAACCAGATCATTTAAAGCGAATGCTAGAAAAAGAGGCAACCTAAGATATCTCAATACATATTGGGAAAGCAAAATTCAATCAACATAGTGTCGTAATAGACGACAGAAATATGATACAAACGCCGAAAATGTACAGGGAAAGAAAAGGTTTCCTTCCAGTATTAAAGAAGAGAAACAAATAAAAGAATACGTAAATTGTGTAACATCTAATCTACAATAAAACAGTTGCCACTTGATGCAATAGAAATTTGATTCTCGTATGGAATTCGGCGAATAACACAAACCGTAATAATAATAGCTGGCAACTCGTATTCGAGGATACCCGTCTATTAGGGTGGCTAGCCAATCCCTGTTGCAGACGTTCGCTCATTTGTGTTTGCTCAACACTTTATGGTTTATACTGACGTTAGTTACAGTTTTCTGGGAGACAGCGTGTTATCTAGCGTGATCAACAATTTGAACAAGGCCAGCTCAAACGATGACTTGTGGCTTTTATGCTAGCACAGCAAGGGTTCCGTCTACCCGTCACTTTACAAAGTAGAAATCCATTCCGGCGATATCAGGACTATGGTGAGATTTGAACCCGGGTCGCTTGATCAAAAGGCGAACGTTCTAACCACTCAGCCACGCGGCCATATAATCGCGGACACTACATGCGAACTATTTAGAATTTTTAAGAAAATAGAATTACAAAGAAATTGGTATTAGTAGGAAGAAAGAGAATCTTGTCATTCTGGGACGGAATAATAGCAAAAAGGGGACATAATGAACTCAAGAGAATCAGGAGGGTACCTTTACGATGTTGCGTGGTTGTATGAGGGAATAAGGACAAATATATTTGAGAAAAATGTCAAAAGTTATGAAAAACAACAAAATAGTGGACATTAGGGAGAGCCATTATCGTAACATTTAAGAAAAACATTTTCACATGATTAAGTTATTTTGCAAAGTTCCTACAATATTATTTACATACTAACAAAGAAAAATACTTTTCATTTACTGCAATATAACAAAAGCATAGGCTTCCGTGAGGACTGAACTTATTTCTCTATTATTATTTAAGCATCACTCTATACCAACAGTAGATGAAGCTGTCACTCTGATAATAGTTGCAAACATCATTTCGTGAATAGACCGCCAGATATCATCATTATTATTAGTAGTAATATTATTATTAGAAGTAGCATTAGTAGTATTTATTTTTGTTGTGTTAATAAGTCACTGATCGAAAACAAATCCATTAGCGACATTTTTATACATTTAAACAAAAGGTATTAAAAACAATGTTTAATATCATATTAAAAATAAACAAAATCAGAGTAAAATGATTGAAACCTGATTTATGAATAATAAACATTCTTCCGTCGTTAGAGATTTTGTTTTAATTATACAAAAATTTAATGGAATTATTTTTTTTTTTACTACTTAATAACACTCTGCTGTTTACAAAAATGATTTCCCGTATCGGATAAACTTTGGTATTGCCATAGTTTCGAACACCCACCGTTGGACTGCAACTCAGGAATCTTTGCCTGTTATGATACGTTATTAAAAAGTGACTTCCAGGAGATAGTTTTTCGGGTGTAATTTACGCACGCCCGAGGGATATCTGTACAAATAACAGCCAAACGCGCTATTTGGCATTCTTGTTTTACGATTGATAGAGAAATACGTTTAAAATGGTGTTTAACTTATGCTAGATGTCAACACTAAAGCACAAATATCATTACGAAATACGAACATCGTTATGAGCAAAATATAATCACTAAATAATTGTTTAAAGATTGTCGAATCCAAACTCTACAATATTGATGTTGTGATAATATCGTGTTAAAATATTAACGTAATCATATGTAAATAATGAGGCTTTATTTTAATATTTTGTTTTGAGAGATCACTCAGCAAAGGCTCCAAATATGAGACCTGCACAAAGAAAATTATTTCTAATCATTATCATCCTGATACTGCACCATTGATCTTAAAATTGGTTAATGATATCTTAGTGGAAGTTGTGGCATATGTATGTAACGTAAGCACACATGGAAATATATTAACAGAGTGGTATGATAAAGTCTGACATATTTGTACAAATTTCTTGTAAATTTGTGCCAGCGTGGAACATAACTGATGCTGTTAAATGGCAATTCCAACCATAACACGCTACTTAATGGTACCCTCACACTCCCTCTTCCTCTCCCTCTTATATATATATATATATATATATATATATATATATATATATATATATATATATATATATATATATATATATTATGTGTGTGTGTGTGTTTGTGTGTGTGTGTGTGTGTGTTAATTAAAGAATATCAAACACTTAAAATCCCATAGGTAATAATTTATATATCATGAGAGCTCTAAAAAAGCAGCTCTCAATATTCAAGACCTACAGACAAGGATTATTACTCATGGAATTTTAATTGTTTGATATTCTCTAATTAATATTAATTTTCCTCCGTCTTTTTGTCATAGAGTTCTCCCTGAATCTATCTCCCCCTGGAAATTCCATACGGATTACCATATTGTATCATTACTATATAGATATATAGATAGATATGTCTCCAAAGATTCAAGAAAAAATTATCATACTTGTTCTTCTTGCCCTCAGAAATTCACTGTAGGCGTGGATTAGAAAATGCTGACGGCATCTGCTGCAAATGGGTATGATCACCCGTAAAAGGACGCCGTCTTTCTTTCGAAATCATTTAACTAAAAGAAATCTATCAAGATTTTCATTCGACTCTTATCCTGGCCTTTGTATACACTTTCGAATGGTGCACACCAGACCTGTTTCTATTTTCAGATTAAAGTGTAAATCAAACCAATATCTTACTTTTTGTAACTCACGAGTGCTGATTACATCAATGTCGATTTTAGGTGACATATTGAAATTGTAATGCTATTATTAGACATTTACTTATATAAGTTCTTCATAAGTTAACATTCGGCATTCTTTAACAGACCAGGAAATGCTACTATCAGCTGAAATTCAGAAAATCTCTTAAATAAAATAAATGTCCAGTAAAATAGGTTACCCATGTTTACTAACTCTTATCGCTTTCTTCAATATTGATGCGACTTTTTTTACCGAACCTTTTGTTTGAAATACTGTGCAACGCTGATATCTTGATCATGTGATTATTTTCCATACGCTCTACATTTTAGCTGTTAATGTTACTAAAAGTCCTCATGCGATGTGGTTTCTCTTATTTTGGCACAGTTCTATGTTTGTCATTCTCCAGAGACAGTACCATCATTCGTTTCGTTTAGTCAAAGATACTTTTAACCATTGACTTGAGAAAGCGGTTGCAAACAGCTGATAGTTTAGATATTTTTGGTCGTGATCGGCGCCATGCCTGACACATATATGAAAGTTGCGATCTGCAGAAGATATTTAAAAACTTGACACGAAGTTTTAGGTTGTCGATTTGCTATGTCGAACTATACATCGATTCATTATGATTTTTCTCTTACAAATTTATATTCGACATTAAATAACTGAACAACAGACGATACGCCACTGAATTAACCAACGTAACTTCACGTGCAGAATGTTTTATTATTTTCGCTATCCTCGAAATGCTCAGAATTTAGGTTATCGATTTGCTGTGTCTATCTGTATATCGATTCATTGTGATTTTTTTCTCCTATCTATATCGATAATTCTCAAAATGTGTGTGTGAATGTATGTATTTGTGTGTGTGTGATCGGATTGTTTATGCGTTTCCAGTTTTCATCCGATTTCGATGATTTTTTTTCGTTTGATAGATAATTCTTCAGTGCCGGATTTAAGGCCTGGAAAAATTACAACCTTGAAGGTGAAAAATCGAAAAAAAAAATGATTTTTTCCACTTTACGCAAAAACCAAAGGCAAAATTTAATGCCTGTAAAAACAACGTACAATCAAATTAGAGAGTTCAAATCTAACGAAAAAGATTATTAGAATTATAAAAAATATATTTTAAATAAAAATTATTGTATATTATTGATATGACGGTCCATAGAAGAGGTTCCTTCCTTGCAATATTGAGAAAGCAAAAACGGCCTTTTTCAGTACCACCCCACATTCAAATTGTTAATCCCACCATTTTGGGATGTGCCGCAGTTCCACTCAAATGTTTTAACTAATATTAATTTTCGTGTGGGCTGACTTAAACTTAAACTGCTCCAATTGAACGGCAAAATTTCCAGTAATGAAAGACCCGGTCAAAGATGCGTTATATTGCGAGTACAATGTATATTCGACATTAAACAACTCGGCAACAGATGATATGCCATTGAATTAACCAAAGTAACTTCACGTACAGAATGTATTGTTATATTCGGCATGCTCGAAATATTCAGAATTTAGATGTAAACTTGTCTCTGTCTGATTGAGATTGTTTAAAAGCAAAGACAGATAGGTTGTGGTATAACTTTATCTAGAAAGTTCTATTGAACTCAAGTTGATTTAATAATGATTTTACAGATGTATTTCCAGGGAGATGGAGCTTGACATCCCAGGAAGTCCATTCATCTAGGGAAAGGAATACTCTGACTTTAAACCTCCGCTGACATGCTGCCATATTCACCGAACAGAGAAAATCAAATCTAGACAGAAAATCAGGAGTGGATCCCCGAGGGCAGTTGACTGACAACACCGACAAAATTCTGGAATCTGCTGTAGTCAACACCCCATCAAATATATTTCCCTGTAATTCTCTGGAGTTTATCGGTACAACCGAGAGGGGGCTATATAGTCGTTTAGTTTTGGTAGTTGACAGCCTCGATATACCATCTCCAGTCTAAAGGAAAGGTCTTATTTAAACTACCTGATGCCTTGCAGGTCTTTCCTCTTTAACCTGTGAAAGAAGAGACGGGTAACCTCAACCAAATCAGTGCAAAAGGAACCGGCAAGCAATTTCACTATTCTTTCTTGGATGTCAGCCTGAACAAAAATTATAAGATGGCGGGCATTGGTGATCCCAGGGCGCGAAAATTCACTAACTGGATAAATGAATGAATAAATGTACAGATGTTATTGAGTTGATGATTGGGGTTCTAGGCACCTTGTTAATTCTACACATTTACGAATCCATTCATAAACGTGTAGATCAATGCCTAGATTAATTTTGATCCGTATATAGACAATGGCGTCCAGAAAAGGATACGACATGATTTGTATATGGGTAATAAAAAGAAGAGGATAGACGAAGAAAAAGAAACAACAGATAAAAAATGGCGTCAGTAGATTAATAACATCAAAGACGAAGCAACTCTTTTGTTAAATGAGGTATGAAACGGCTGTTTAAGTACATGTCGTGGTTTATAGGCAAAGAGCATTGGTAAAGTTTATTTATAGTTGGGCAATATTAATAAAATATTTTTAGGCGACTGCACATTGCTTCTGGCGATGAACACAAAAGCAATTAAAAGAATCTTCCTAAGTTGAAATTTCATATCGACGCTTGTTTGAAAACATGAGTACTACAGTGAATCTGAAGTTTCTGTGGAGATGATTATAACACAGGAAATATTCAGCAATCTTTAACCCAAAATAAATCGTTAAAACCGGTTGAATTTTTTTAGATATTTCCCTTAAAACAGTTATTAAAAAATACACCATTGTGTAAATTAATTGAAAAAAAAAAAAAACGATTTAGTCTCCTGTCTTTCACTATACGGTCACTTTTAGACCCACTGGAGTGACAGGGTGTACTCGATTTCTAGTTTCCCCTAATATTAGGTCATTTGCAGTGGTGTGCAGTTATATGAATATATATTCGGGGTGTATGATGAAAATTGTTTGGCCTTGAAAAATATGGCGACATCCGTGATTGCATGAGATTTTTATCACGACAGACACTATTGTCACGACTGTCAATTAGTTGTCCTAGAGCCATTGAAAAATATGGCACCATCCGTGATTGCACCAGATTTTTATCACGCCCAGACATTATTCTCTCGACTGACGATGAGATGTGCTTTCGGCCATTGAAAATTATTGCGACATTCGTGATTACATCAGATTTTTATCACGCTCAGACACTATTGTCTCGACTGTCGATTAGTTGTTCAACGGCCATTGAAAAATATTGCGTCATCTGTGATTACATCAGATTTTTATCACGCCCAGGCACTATTGTCTCGACTGTCGATTAGTTGCCCTACGGTCATTGTCCGCGTTGGACGTTACTGTAAGGGGGCTTACGAAAATTGTAAGACTACACGAACGCACTGGCAAACCTTACCAGTGAGCAAATGAAAGTACCATAGAGACTCTCCTGATTTAGATCTAATCGAGAATATGTTATTTATATGCAAGGAACGATTTCGTGGAAAATACATACCAAGTACTAACATGTACAGTCGCTCATGTTCCACTGGGAAAATTATGAAAAATTAAATCACGGAATTATTTGTTTCGTTTCAATTAATTTGCACGTGCATATATGTTTCTCAAATGTATTAATTGATTTCTCTCTTTCTAGTAATGATGGTAGTTACCTTCCTAACCTTTTGCTTTACTGAAGAATGTTGGAGCGTACAATGGTCGAAACGTCGTGAAAATGGCAAGAAAAATGAAGGCAACAGTCCGAACAATTTAAAGAATGTGATAATTTCAGTAAATACAAATTGATATTCACGCCCCGTACGTGCGGTAATAATTCGCGCTTTAGTCAGGTTCACTATTAGTCGTACTTTCTAAATACATGGATGCAGAATCTCTATGGCCTTGTACCACACTAGGCTAACATTTCCGAATGTGATTGGCAGGTAATAACATTGCAAGATATTAAGACGCGAGTTAATTGTGGGGTGATTGTCGTTGGATCTTGTCTTGTGCTTCCGGTATGTAATTTTCGACAAAATACAAATAAAATCTGCAACGTCATCGGCCCTAACCTGGCATCTCGGCTTCAGTCACTGATCAGTTATCAAGCTTCCTTATATATATATATATATATATATATATATATATATATATATATATATATTTTTGTGTGTGTGTATGAGGCACGGTGGAGTATTGGATAGCGGATCGTAGACGAGTTCGAATTGACTTACTTGCTAAAACCATTACGAAAGGTATTAATTTTTTTTACCCATCCTGCTATGGGTAAGTAGCAGGATAGACTGGGTTCTACAGCCTTACATGGTACGTTGCCTAGGAGTAGGAAAACTCTGAATTCAAACCTGTGGAGGGTCGTTTGGGGACCTGTGGCACGTAGTGTAACAGATCTCTGTATTCAGGGTGGTTCTGTACAAAGACTTCACCACTATAATCAAATCATATGTGCTGGTATTTGGCTGTCGGATAATAGAAACTGGGCTGCTTCATCTTCATACATCTAATAGGACGGAGAGTCCACGATATATATATATATATATATATATATATATATATATATATATATATATATATATATATTAATCCAATCTGGAGTAAAGTTTGACAGAACGTTTGGATAAGGAACGTTTTAAATTTAACATGTTTCGCTTTTAATTAAGCTTCATCAGAAATGAAAAATAGAAGATTAAAGTCAATTTTGGTATTTTTTTTAATTGTTGTGTTGTTTGTTTTTTTATTTGTTAAATAGGTCTATTTGATTTGTCTCGCAGCATTCATGGTAGGCCAACTAGAATTAGGATACACAAACACTCAAGAATTATACACACGAACGCTACCAGTTGTTACTAAACAGCTGCTGAAACAATATGGCATAAGAAAACGTTGAAGAGATAAAGAATTATATAGTGGGTTTGAAATTAAAGAGATAAGGAAATGTATAGTAGGTTTGAAATTAAAGAGATAGAGAAATATATAGTGGGTTTGAAATTGAAGAGATAAAGAAATATATAGTGGGTTTGAAATTGAAGAGATAAAGAAATATATAGTGGGTTTGAAATGATTAAAATCTTTCATATGATGAAGATAAATGACGTTTTTGTCGCTCTAATGCAGATCTTATTTAAATAAAATCCATGTATATCATTGCACCGATTGAACGGTGACAGTATTCAAAATAAATGTTTTCCAAATTGTATTGTCTATGCCTTACCACTTTCTATGACTTAAACTGATAAGTTAGGGGATCACAGCCATATTAGGTTGCAACACCGGTTCACGTACGATCACCGACGTTAAGCAACGTCGAGCCTGGTCAGTACCTAGATTGGCGACCGCTCGGAAACATCAGGTTCTGTAAGCTCGTGCGGAATATGATGGCTCGAAATTGTTATTCGGAAATAAGAGTTCCAATTCCCATTGGGTTTTTTTATAGTCACTTACGAGCAAATATTTTGGGAAAGGAATGAGTACACCTATTCTCCCTTCAGTTAAGGAATTATGTAGAAGAGTGGAATCAAAAGCTAAAAACAAGGAAAAATGAATAATATCCAGACAGACATGCTGGACACTTCACAATAGCACAGCCTTGTATTTTATAACGAAAACCACTACACGGTTTGCCATGAACGATGCGCATTAAACATATTAACAAATTGTAGCGACTTCAGCGAAATCCGCTTAAAATATTACTAAGCAACAAACAAAAAAGAAATCTTTCAAGACATTAATGCATATAATATATTGAAATTTATTATAGAAATCAAACTGTATTCCAAAATATAACTTCAGCGAAACTACAATATAAAACACATAAAACACCTGTGGAATTATGTCTACACAAACATATATATATATATATATATATATATATATATATATATATATATATATATATATAAAAGTGAGCATAGAAGTCAACACTTAGAGGCGACAGTCTGTTTCATGCTATATGCAATCGTCAGGCCACTTTTACACAATGCTCTATCTCTGATATTGAGCACTTTATCCCATAAATATAGCACACCTAAAGACTATATTTCTTTATATATATATATATATATATATATATATATATATATATATATATATACAAAGCTGAGTATCATCGAAAAGTATTCAACTGTGAAAGCAGAATAACATATGGCATTATTTTATTATTTCAAAGCCCAAATTAAATCTCATCATTCAATGATGACCCATAAATTAGTTGCTATACCATTAAACAGTTCCAATATACATTCTCACATACGAAAGAATTAAAACAAAATTCAATCCTATAAAATATATTTCGTTTTTTGTTTTGCTCAGATTGTTAGACAAAACTTCTGTTTAATGTATTATTCTATTTTTGCAAAGTTTTAGCATAAGTTCTTCATATAAAAGGCTTGGTCAAAGACGATAAAACATTAACACATTGTTGTTTAAATTTAGCAATATATATTATAAGGTAAATTGACACACACACACACGCACACACATATATATATCTATATGCATCAATAATCAGAGCATTATTGATATATATATATATATATATATATATATATATATATATATATATATATATATATATATATATATATATATATAAGGCTCTTCTTATTTTCACAAAATTTGCAAGTCTGGCGAGTAACAGTTAAATTATCATGCCACCTCTGAAATGTGTCGCCTACACGTCATCTATACAGAAATCTCAAGCAAACAGACATATAATACAAGCAACAACTCGACATCGCAACTCAAAGTTGACCTGTGAGAAAAGCAAGAGAGAATAGTAAGGCGAGAAGAATATTAAAATAAAAGACAAAAGTAATTAAGAAAGACTGGGAAAAAAGAAAATAAAACGTTTGGGTTCCTCTCTGCCAAAGCAGAGTGTTCGACAGAAGTCGTACACAGTCCAACTGCCGATATTTAACATTACCCCCACGAGGAATGTATGTGGCACAAGGCCGAGTTTAACGTGGGGTTCCCCGAGACAGTAGGCTCGGCCAAAAATATTCCCTTAGAACACGCATAAGCGGGTTCGGGATCTGTCTACCTCCCCGGGCGAAACTTTGCTCTTCGGTAAAGCTTCGTTCGGGTTCCTCTCTGCCAAAGCAGAGAGTTCGACAGAAGTTTTACACAGTCCAACTACCCGCTTAAGAAGTCTCGCAGGTTAGTATTTATGAGAGGAGGAAGAGTTCATTCTAATGTAGATAGGTCACCATAACATGAGGAATGATGGCTACATACTTTCCCAAGTGTATTTGATTGAAACTGAACAGAAACGATCGGAATTTAAATTAGGCAAGCCGAACCCAACTGCAACACTACTCGCCGTTACACGTACCTTCTATAGTATCAATAAAGACACTAATAGTGACTACAAACCAGGATACCTGTATAGAACTATCAAAACCAGTCTGTCAGTTATGTACCATGCGTGATATACGCTTAGGCGATCATGTATCCTTCGATACACGACTGACGAGACAGATTTTTTTTTTCCGCAGTAGCTTGGCATTTCTTTCTACGGTAGACCAGTTGCCATTCAAAGCTATAAAATCCGGTCTGTCCAGTTATTTACCGATAGTTTGAGGGAGAAGAGGAGGATTCATGCCTTTTCCCAAGGAAAGTGAATGTAATGGATTTAACTGGAATTCGAACTCGGCTCTACGATTCCTCAATCCGAGCCACATGTATGGAATAATAAAAAGACATAAACCTAACTTCCCTCTCCGTCCTATCATATCCTAAATAACCACTTCGGTTTATCTGTTAACCAAAATAATTAACCACCTCGTTATACCATACAAACCTAATAAATACAGCATTATATCAATTCACGTACTAATCAAAATCTTAAAAACAAAAAAATGTAATAATGAAAACATAGCCTCACTTGATGTTGAAATTTTATTTATCAATGTCCCAGTTAGAGAAACAATTGATATAATTATAAAGAATATTTTACAACAAACCATCTTTCCTTCCATTAGGAAATTTAATTTAAAACATTCCAGAAACTACTCTTCATTTGTGCTACTGAGGTTCCCTTTTATGATAATCAAAATAATATATACTTACAAAGTGTTGGCGTTATCATGGGTTCAATTCTAGGACCAACATTTAGTAACTTCTACATGGCTAACCTTGCAAGTAAGATATTTAATACCACTAAAAATCCGCCATGTACCTAAGAAAAGTAGACGCTATTCTCATTTTAGTTAAATAAATAGACAAAATACATGAAATACAAAAAAAAAACTTCCAAAAAATGCTTCGTTTTTAAGTCCATATACGAACTTAACAATAACAACAGAATTCTTTTTATTGATATATTGATAGCCACCAATAACAGTATATTTACTGCCTCTACAGAAAAAAATCTTTAAAACAGGGATTATACAAAATTCAATAAACTGTGTAAAAGTTAACTCTTCCACGAAAAAATTTCTACACAGAAAAAAAAACATTAAAAAAATACTCTCATTAATAATAACTTTCTAATTACATTGTTGATGAGCAAATGAGACGAGATATTAGAAATATTAACATAAACCAAAAAGATTATAATACTTCTGTAAATGACCCTAAACATATCAACTTACCATACCGCAATCAAATACACTATAACTATAAACTACATGAAAACGATCCTACTAAACACATGAGTACTAATATATCCTCAACTGATACCAGTAAAACAATAAAACTATATACTATACTACATTTAATACAACCAACTTAATCCTCCGCATTAACCCTTCTCCGTCAACTAATGACCAACATTATACAGTGAAACCCGGATATAAGAGACCCGGATATAAGAGAAACCCGGATATAAGAGAGATTTTCTCTGGTCCCAAATTAGAGCCTGTGTTAATGTATATAAAATAGACCAAACACGGATATAAGGGAAACCCGGATATAAGAGACTTCTTCTCCGGTCCCGACAACTCTCTTATATCTGGGTTATACTGTATATCAATTTAAATGTCCTTTCAAAGATTGGATCTCTGACAATAACGTAAATATATATGTTGGTTTCACGGTGACAACGCTATCAAGAAAGCTTATTTACACACGTCGGGTTCAAATTCTATTGCACAACATTTAAAAGAACATTCTTGTCCACATTTACGGTTTAGAGAAATATTAATTGACATTACAAGCATACCCCATCATGAAAATAAAAATAACAAAAAACGCCAAATTCATGGAGCGCTCTGTATAAAAAATGGAATCAACACTAAATAAAATGAATTCTGAGTATAGCAACAATGTTTATAATGTCTATAAAAGCAATGTTGTGAGATGTTCAAATTGTATATTTTTTTCTAAATTGAAGGCTGAGTATTTTTCAAACATTAATAATAAAAAAATTGAACTTGTTTTTTTCTCGGCTACATATTCTTAAAGTTAATTGACTCCTAAAGGAGCGCGTTTCATGCGCATTGACAAACTCTCAATTAGATTAAATTTGTCTTAGCACTTGACTCCTGAAGATGATATTGGATGAGATTGAAAGAACCTGGGGAAAGTAAAAGAAATAAACAAAATGCTTCGTCTTTCTTACTCAGCTTGTAACAGCACCAAGAAATTCATCCATGAATTTGAAAAGATCAAAATAGAAATAAATATACATATCTAGATCATTCAATCAAATATATATATAAAAAATATGCTTAATATATATATATAAAAAAATATGCTTTATATATATATATATATAAGAAATATGCTTTATATATATATATATATATATATATATATATATAAAAATATGCTTATATATATATATATATATATATATATATATAAAGAAATATGCTTTATATATATATATAAAGAAATATGCTTTATATATATATATATATAAACAAATATGCTTTTATATATATATATATAAAACAAATATGCTTTATATGTATATAAACAAATATTCTTTATATATATAAAACAAATATGCTTTTATATATATATATAAAACAAATATGCTTTATATATATATAAACAAATATGCTTTATATATATATATATATATATATATGCTTTATATATATATAAACTAATATGCTATATATATATATATATATATATATATATATATATATAAACAAATATGCTTTATATATATAGAAACAAATATGCATTAGATATATATATATAAACAAATATACTATATATATATATATATATATATATAAAAAATACGCTATATATATATATATATATATATATATTTACATATATATTTGATCAGCCACCTATAAATATATGTACATTATATATATATATATATATATATATATACACACACATGTATAAATATATATATATATATGTCCATATATTTCTAGGTATTACCTATAGCCGC